TTAAAAAAGATTTTAAAAAAGGAATTGATAAGACGTTGGTTGAAAAAAGAATGAGAAAAATGTAAAAATTAAAATAAAAAATTAAAAAAAAAGAATGTGATCAGGCAGGAGACTAGGTCAATGTCATACACTAGATTTAGGGTATATTTTGGTCTGTTAGAAGAAACTGTATCCCAAAATTTTAAAGAAAGAACAACTTATATATATATATACAAAAAATAAGGTTAAATACAATGAAGAGATAGAATATGACTGTAAAAATGAAAATTAAAAAAGATTTTAAAAAAGGAATTGTAAGATGTTGGTTGAAAAAGGAAAGAAGAAAAATTCAACTAAAAAAATAGAAAAAGAAAAAATAAAGAAAATTTTAAAAATTAACTTTGAAAGTCTAAAGACTGTGTGCTGTTTTCCCCTAGCACTGGGGTTTTGCCATTCTCATTGTTTGGTAAACTTGGTCTTGGCTGGCTATTCTTGCTGATCTTCTGGGGGAGGGGCCTGTCGCAGTGGTTCTCAAATGTCTTTGCCAGAGGCGGAATTACCCCGCCCTTGCCAGTCGGGGTAAGTAATCTGCTCGGGTTTGCTCTCAGGAGATTTTGTTCCCTGCAAGCTTTCCGAACAGCTTTGGAGCACGAGTGAAAATGGCGGCCTCCCAATCGGCCCCAGAGGAGCCGAGAGCTTGGGGCCCCACTCCTCAGTGAGCCCTCAGAGAAAAGCAGTCAATAACTCCTGTCTCCCTGGTCTCCGGCCGCACTCCCTGCTCACCTGGGTTGTGACCAGCATTTCTATCTCTGGCACATGACCCCGTTTGGAGTCTCCAAACCCAGCAGATCCCTGTGGTGCGCTCCCGTGCTGCTCCTCCCAGAGGAGGAAGGAGAGTCTCCTTGGATCTGCCACTTGTTGGGTCCCTGCTGGAAGAGCAGTGGCCCAACTGTGCTGCAGATCATGGTTTATGGCAACCCACTCCTTGGCTCTGTCTCTGCAGCCAGCTTCCCCACTCTGATATCTGGAATCTCTGCCCCACTCAGGCACCCCTGGCCTTTCTGTGACCCCGAGGGTCCTGAGACCACACTGTCCCAGCGAGGGTCCCCCCCCCCCCAGCTTAGCCACTGGAGCGACGTCCCTCAGCGGAGCAGACTTCTAAAATTTCCAATTTTGTGCTCCACTGTTCTATCACTTGCTGGTAGCAGCTGACGGAGGCCCCCTCCCCCCACCATCTATCTTCCCAATATGGCCTCGGATTCACTTCTCCACACATCCTACCTTCCAGAAAGTGGTCACTTTTCTGTTCAGAGAGTTGTTGCTATTCTTTTCTTTGATCTCCTGTTGAGTTTGTAGGTGTTCAGAATGGTTTGATAACTATGTAGCTGAATTCCTGGGACCAGACGAAATTTAGGTCTTCTACTACTCCGCCATCTTGCTCCTCCTCCCCAGCAATCTTTGTTGTATACAATTCAATATACCAATGGAAAGTGTTGATATTTAACATATAAAGAGCATTTATGAAATAAATCCTGCAAGACCTTATTAGTTTTTATACTTTCTTCTTCCACTGATTCATAATGCACAGGAAGGTGATCTAGTGCTGTTGGATCTATAGTAATGAAATACTAATTTATTTAATAAAATATCAATTTATTTTGATTTTTTTAAGATTTTATTTATTTATTTGAGAGAGAGAGCACGGGCAGGGGAGAGGGGCAGAGGGAAAAGGAGAAGCAGATTCCCCGCTGAACAGGGAGCCCTGATGTGGGCCTGGATCCCAGGACCCTGGGATCATGACCTGAGTGAAGGCAGACGCTTAACTGACTGAGCCACCCAGGCGCCCCTTTCATTGTATTTTAAATATACTATGTAAAACATTAATATTTTATTATTTTCTACACTTTATAAATGCATTTGGAAATATTTTGTTATAAAGTTAAATAGCTGCAGACCTCAGTATATGATTTCAGAAAGGAGTTAAGATGCCTCAATAAGAATCAATAATTTTAATTTCTCCAGATCTTTTGATGACAGAGTCTTCCAATTTACTCAGTGATAGAGGTAAAGGGAGATATCAGAGAATGGGTTTTCTCTTGCCTTTTATCCACTTAATTAGCTTGAGCCCATAATCAATCAACTATTCCAATTGCTAAATTCCCTAAAGTCAACTTTCCTTTATATTTCTGCTTAATTTCTTAAAAGACTTAAGGACAAGAAGTTTTTAATAGGTACTAATCTTTTTATATGATAAATATTGAAATTACTTCATAGGGATATGTAACAAAGCCTAGGAGGAAACATCTGAATTTTTGGAGATTCTAATGTCAAGATTATAACATTGTACGAAAACAAAGAGATCCTCTCAGGAAATAAACAAATGTACAATACAGACCTTTGAAGTAATAGAAAACAAGCTTGGGGGCACCTGGGCGGCTCAGTCGTTAGGTATCTGCCTTCGGTTCGGGTCGTGACCCCAGGGTCCTGGGATGGAGCCCCACATCGGGCTCCCTGCTCCACGGAAAGCCTGCTTCTCCCTCTCCCACTCCCCCTGCTTGTGTTCCCTCTCTCGCTGTTTCTCTGTCAAATAAATAAAAATCTTAAAAAAAAAGAAAAGAAAAGAAAACAAGCTTGTTTTGGCAAAAACTTATTTTTTTCTTTCTTTTCTTACTACATACATTGCTCTATGAGCAATTCACCAATCCCAAATTGTTTGGAACCAAAACTATTCTGCATCTCCTTGTTGAGATACAAGTTTATAAAAGGTAGGGCAGGGGCGTCTGGGTGGCTCAGATGGTTAAGCATCTGCCTTAGGCTCAGGTCATGATCCCACGGTCCTGGGATTGAGCCCCGCATTGGGCTCCCTGCTTGGCGGGGAGCCTGCCTCTCCCTCTCGCTCTACTGTTCCCCCTGCTTGTACTTTCTCGCTCTCTCTGTCAAATAAATAAATAAAATCTTTAAAAGAAAAAAAAAAAGGTTGGACAGTTACTGAAAATATATATGCTCTTTTTGTTTTTGCTATTTTAAAAAATATGTTTACAAGCAGAAAACCATTAAGATCATCTTTGGAAAGTACAATTTTACAAATAGTTTATTTATGAAAGTGCTCTTTGAAGCTGGATTTCTTCTGATATAGTAAAAGCTAGGTGGCTAGATGGCTACATAAAGTAATTATATACTCTTGGTCATTGTTTTCTTTGATATTTTCTCTTTACAAACTGTTAAGAACATGTCTTGAAGTTACTAATATATCAGTTCCCTGTGAATTTTGTTGTAAAGGATCTAAGTCAACTTGCTCCATGTATATGGTAAATCATGTGGGTTTTTTTTTTTTCCAAAATTATGGAAAATAAACATTTCCAATTTGAAGCATAGCTAAAATGGTATTTCTTTCCATCAGATTTCAGTGGCCATAACTTCAACCATTCACTGACAGGAAATGAAATATGTTCTGTTGTACCTTGGAATATAGGTCTCTTTTTTCCCCATGAATCACTGCTTAAGCCTAAGCCAGATGAGGCAACAAAATCTTCAAGGATAGTATTAATTTGACTCACCTTTTTCTTAGCCCTATAATTGTCTGTGTTAGAGGGATGAGGGAGACAGTCTCATATTCATGATTTAGGGATGAAAAGGAGGAAGAATTGTCCACAAGAAAGAATTAAAAAGGAGGCCTAAAGTACTCTAATTTATGGAACCAATCCAAAGGTACGTCCTTGTGCAGGTCATTGGCCAAGATCTATGCAGTGCACAGATTAATTACTTAATTTAATTTTTTAGTTTCCACCCATGATTATTCAATTTAGAGATTATCATTCATTACATGTTTGATAAAGAGGAAGGGGATAGGAATAGTTAAGAAGATATTTTTCTCCTATCATTATAATTGCTTTTTCAGCCCAGCCTCAATAACCTGATCATTGAATACTGTAGACAATTAAATAGGCCATATCCTTATATACAGACTTATGATGATGTTACCTCCCTATAAACTCATCATAAGTTGAAAATGTATTTAATACTGAACATCATAGCTTAGTGTAGCCTACCTTAAATGTGCTCAGCATACTTATACTAGCCTGCAATTGGACAAAATTAATGCAAATCCTATTTTATAATAAGTGCTGAATATTTCATGTAATCTTTGAATACTGTACCGTAAGTGAAAAACAGAATGGTTGTGTGGGTATAGACTGGTTGTAAGTGTATCAGTTGTTCATCTTCATTATTGCCTGGCTGACTGGGAGCTGCCGCTTGCTGCCGCTGCCCAGCATCATGAGAGAAAGCTTCATACTGCTTATCACTAGTCCAGGAGAAGATCAAAATTTAAAATTTGAAGTTCAGTTTCTACTGAATGCCTATGAATTTCACACAATCATAAAGTTGAAAAATTGTAAGTCAAACCCATTATAAGTAGGGGACCATCTGTACTTTAGTTCCATTTCTCAAGACAAACGAGACACAATCTCATAAAGACCAGAGTGACTCCATCCTCTCTGCTCACTTAGGATCTATGGTTTCTTGTTTGTGAGTAGCACCTACTCACCACAGATGCAATCACCAAGTTCTCTTTGTATCCTTTCTTCAGACCTCCACTGAATGTTTTTGCCTCAAGTACTCTTCAGTCCCAAAGCCTAATCATATTTTTGATATTAATAAAAACTCTACAAATTGCCAGTTAGACTCCTTGAAATTGTCTGCTTCCCTCTGCATTCCATTCAGGAGGGTTTGCTACATGACTTACACACTGTCTCTTAAATTACCCATGTCTTACTTCTCTTTTATGACTTACTTTATGATTACTTTAATCAGATTTACTCCCACTCTCTCACACACAACACATATGTATATGTTCAAGATAGATAAGGATGTTTCCTTAGAAAAGTGGGAAGAGAAAAGGGGGATGGAAAGGAAGAGCACCTTTTTGTTTTTGGTATTATACAACTTCTCTACCTATATTGACCCTCTTATACCCTTTTTGACAGAAAAGTTTATAGTTGTTCCATTTTTTTTCCCCTTAGGAACAACCTGGGTCAGTGAAATATTGGATTTGATCTATAATAATGGGAATGTGGAGAAATGTAAGCAGGACGCAATATACAAACGAGTGCCATTCATGGAATTGATTATTCCTGGACTCCAAAATGGTATTTTCCCTGAATGTTCCTTTTTACCATAAGAATAAATCCCCTTACCATTTTGTGGTGTTTCAAGGAATCATGTTGGAATTTCTATAGACAGAACTTGGACAGTTGAATCCTAAGTGTCTATAATAGAAGAGTAAGAATCTGGTTTCACTAATAACCATATTATACTACTCTTGCACCCAAACATAATAATAATATCTGCATAAGAGGAGATTTTGATGAGTATATATTTTCTTTTTTTTTTTTAAGATTTTATTTATTTATTTGACAGAGAGAGACACAGTGAGAGAGGGAACACAAGCAGAGGGAGTGGGAGAGGGAGAAGCAGACTTCCCGCGGAGCGGGGAGCCCGATGTGGGGCTCGATCCCAGGACCCTGGGATCATGACCTGAGCCGAAAGTAGACGCTTAACAACTGAGCCACCCAGGTGCCTGGAGTATGTATTTTTTCTTAATTGCACAGATGGAAGTCTTCAACATTTAAGTGTATGATCATTATATGCAAAAAATTCAGAGTTTGATCCAATATAAAATCATGTCTACTGCTTGTTGGCTGATGTTCACAGACTCAAGAAACAGAATTACGGATGGTCTTGCATTATTAAAATTTTAAAAATTAATTATGAGCTTCATGGCTTAATTGATCTTATAATTTGAATATAAGAAAGCTGGAAAGGGATTTTGAAATCTTCCAGTTCAACTTCCCCATATAGTAAATGAGAAAAAGAAAGATAAATGAAGGAAAAATTTGGATGTCTTGACATTGGCCTATTCTTGTTTCTGCCTCAGCAAGGTGTTGTATCTGAAGATTTTACAGACAGTTATTGTCTGTTCTACATAGGAAATAAAACAGCATCACTAACAAGAATTTATCATTTTTGATCTCATGGTAGATTTTATATGTATCTGAAGCTATATAGTTATTTCAAGACATATAGTGGGGTTAATGTTTACAAAGCCTTAGAGTTTATTGTAATTGACCTTTATGATTCCACATTTATAATATAGATTAACTTTTGTGCTTGTAGGTGTGGAGGAGTTGAAAAAAATGCAGCCTCCTTGATTAGTGAAAACACACCTACCTGTTCAACTTCTCCCTTCTTCATTTTGGAAAAATAACTGCAATGTAGCAATATTTAAAGAAAAAAAATCCTTATTTGTGTTGAAATTTCTTTTATTCATCATTCAGAAATTACGATGGGATATTACAACCCCTGGGTAAATCATTGCAAAAATAGTAACGTGGTCCCTATATTCAAGGGTTGAAACAACACCAATGGACACCAGTGCTATAGATATATAGATATAGACTTAGTTCCCAAGCACTGAGAATTTCTCAGGTTTTCTGTTCTCTAAAATGCCTGTCTTTCTGTCTAAATCCCTTTAATCAGGATCCACTTTTAAATATTTCATATCTAAATATTTAAATAATGCTAGAACTGCTTCTTCATGAAATTACAAATATGGATTTATAATTATATATATCTTATATTATATATATGGGTTCATTTTAGGCTTCTTTTTAAAATAACCATTTTAATTCAAGTATAACATATATGGAGAAAAGTACGTAAATCTTAGGCATACAGCTTGATGAATTTTTACAAAATGAGCATTCCCAAGAAACCAGCACCCAGATCAAGAAATTGAACATTACCAGTACCCCAAAAGCTCTGTTTCTTTGCACTCTGGGCAGCAATCCCTATTTTCAAAGATAACCACTATCTTGAATGTTTTTATTATAAATTAGTTTGTCTGCAATAGGAAAGTATATAATCTTGAATATTTAACTTATTTCATTTAACGTAATATTTATGAGATTAATTCTTATCATGCTGTCACCTTGTTTTTGTTTTGTTTTCTTTAATGTAGCCTGTGGATCACAAAATGTGGTTACCCTGAGCAAAAGTAGCCATGTGAGAGAAGCAAATCTTAGGCTCAATTCAGGCCCACTAAATCAAAGATTATGGGGATGAGGTCCAGAAATCTGAGCTTTAATAAAACCTCCAGGTGAATTTGAGTCATGCTACTGTTTGAGAATCACTGATATAAGGAATTCCATTAGGTCTATGTGAATATTTCACAACCAACTTACCCACAGTACTATTAATAGATAGTTGGGTGGTTTCTAGTTGTCAGTAATTAAAATAGTACTTCAATGTACGTTCTATCTACACTGAGGTAGCTGGAAATAGTCTTCACTAAAGAACTTAGAGGTGATGATGATAGAGGAAAACAGTTGGCTCATTACCATAGTCTCTTGGTATTGAAATAAGAAGTTATTGGAAATGTTTATCTCAAGAACTGTCTCAACTCTTAGAATTCTATACTCAGTCTTTCAAAAAACCTCTTTCCACCCACTCCCTTCTTATCCCAGAATATGAGAACTACTATCAGTGACTTGGGAATATAAAACTTCCCATTTCCTTTCCCCATCAATTGGAAGAGAAGAAGAAAGCTGTTTCTAATTAGAGGAAAGGAGATTTCTTCCTGAAGGCATTTTCCCTTAGGGATTTATTTACTGCATGGGTGGCTGGGGCCTCAGTATTATTAGATGTACTTCAGGGGAGAAGTAAGCTTAATGGATTTCAGTGGACTTGCCTGAAAACCTAATTACCACTGAGACATACAATGTCATTTCTATTGGAAAATATGCTCAAAATTTCTGTTTCTAAGCAATCTTTAGGGCTCTATACATAAAATAAATTTTAATCTCACACCAAATCTTATAAACAGCAATGATTGTTATGTGATCGTTATGTGATGAACAGAATGAAGAATGTTTAATCCTTATTGATTAAATGTACCTGAATAATAATTTATTTTCAGTTAAAAATAGGACATTTTTTCAACTTTAAAAATTTTACTTTAGAGGCGTCTGCGTGGCTCAGTTGGTTAAGCGTCCAACTTTTGATTTCAGCTCAGGTCATGATCTCAGGACTGTGAGATAGAGCCCCACATTGGACTCTGCATTGAGCTTGGAACCTGCTTAAGGTTCTCTCTTTCCCTCTCTCTCGGTCCCTCCCCGCACCTCATGCACGTGTGCACTCTCTCTCTCTCTAAAAAAAAGTAATAGTGAAAAAATAAAAAAAAAATAAAAATGTTTATCTTTTTATGTTTTATAACTTTTATGCTTCTTTTTATATGTTTAATAAGTGACACAAAAATATTTTAAATTTAAGAACAATATTAGTTCATTTTTGTTAATTTAACATTTACTGTAATTCTTATGATACTCATTTTTCTGTGTTTTAAGAGATGTTCTTTTCAAAGGCTAAAGAGAAACAGGGTGTGAAAGTACAAGCCTTTATGTTAAAACGATATATAGTTGTGAATATTTTATGTCAGGATATACACGTAAATGCTGAGATCAGGAAATAGAAAAGAGAAAATAAGCATTCTTGCAAGATAAACAAAAGTTTACAAACTATTAAATAATATAAATGAAATGATGATTTCCCATATCTCCCCACAGATGGTCTATGTGGCACGAAATGCTAAGGATGTGGCTGTGTTTTACTATTACTTCTCCCAGATGGCAAAATTACACCCAGAGCCTGGCACCTGGGAGGGGTTGCTGGATAAACTCATGACTGGGAAGGGTGGGTTCAACTCTTATTTTAATCAAGGAGTTCTATAGTGAAAAGTCTTTTTTCAAGGAGATAGAAAGATCAAATATAAATCTGTGTTTATTATAAACCTAATATGTGCCCAGCACTCTACTGTTTTAGGAAGACTATAGAGGAAGCAGAATACATAGTTGTCTCTTCCCTTTCAGAACTTTTGGGGAATAGGTAGCACAGATATTTCAGTTCTTAGTCTTATTATTTCATTAGTGCTTAGTGGCAACTGGTTTCTTCTCTTGCTGTGCATCCATTTTATTGTTTTGATTTTACACATATTTCTTGGACTCTCTTTTCTCTATCATTCCCTTATTTTTATTATATAAACTGAAAATTCTTGCATAAAGATTTTATCCCCAAGGCTCTGTTTCTCTACCTGTGTATTCTCTCTTTCAGGGAAACATATTTATGGCAATAGTAGTAGCTCTACTTAAAGTTCTCATATAAATATTCTTCTATAAAAACTCTCTTTTCAAGGCAAGAACATCTCAATATCTTGCAAATTTTTACTCCTGCTGCTACCTGGACTATTCTCTGCCCATATGTCTACTCATTCTTATCATTATTAAAACCCAGTTATTCTTAGATCCAAATATACTCTTCCTTGGCAGCCCTTCCTTAACTCTCCATCCCTATGATTTTCTCTCCCTTTCTCCTTCTTCTATGATCTCCCCTGCCACTCTTTTCCAAGTAGATTGCAAATTCAGTGAGAACAGGGGTAATTATCCTACCATCCCTCTTTCTTGAACTAATAAGTGTGTTTGTGTTGATAATGATGACTTGGATTAATATTTAACAATTCTTTATGTAAATAGTTTTAATTTTCCAAAGATTATATCTTTCAATTTAGTGGCTTATGGTTCTTGGTATGACCATGTGAAGGGCTGGCGGGAGAAGAGGAATGATTATCATATCCTTTACCTATTCTATGAAGACATGAAAGAGGTAAGAGGCAATTATAATTTCTTTTTTATTTTTTAAGGAAACCCAAGATTCATCTGTTTTTGTATCACATTTTCCTTTCTTCTTGATCTATAAATATTACTAATCTACTATCCTGCTAACTCTGCCTTGAAAATCAATCTCTTACTTAATTTACTTTTTTCTACCACTACTGACTCCTGCTCTAGTTTAGGCACCTATCTTGACTTACTTGAAGTATCTCATTTTGCTTCTACTGTCCACTCAGAGAAAATGATCTTGAAACCTAAATGAGAGTATGCCCACTGCCTTCTTCAAATATGTCAATGATTTCTGTCTCTACATGAAATACAAAATCATTAAGATAATTTAGAGTTCAATATTATTTAGTTCCTGTCTATCTGTCCAACCTCTTCTGGTGTCACTTTTCCTCTTCTTACTAAGTGAGCCTGCCTGCAATATTTTTTCCCACTATTTTCAAATTAACTTTTTCTCATCCTCCATGTCTTAATTTAAGTGTTAACTCTCCACAGAATTCTGTTCATGTCCACAATGTCAAATAATTCACCTTATTATTATCCATTAAAATCTCTTTTGCTATTGTTCTTTTCATAGCATCTACCATCACTTCTAATTATTTTATATATGTGTTTCTTACATTTTCTTGGTTTCCTCTAGTATAATGCAAGCTCCTTGGATGTAGGGATTAAAATTATCTCATTTGTGATTGCTTCCCCAAGGGGCCAGCACAGTGGGGAAAACATGTTATTTAATTTATAGAACATCTAGGTTTTTTTATTTTTTCATCTTCTATCTGGTTATTAGCATGAAAAATAATTCACTCTCCAATTTGATCAAAAACTTATCCTGATCTGATTATTTAAATAGTCCATTTAAGAAATGTTTCACATCTCTTAAATTGTATGTGTTTCAGGAAGCTTGTCCACACCCAAATTCCTTTAGATAACTATGACTACCCTTCATCTCTTATTTGGGAAATCTGTTCTATAGCCTCTAGGGAAACCACCTTACCCAGCTAAGGTGACTCCCTCTGGCAGATTCATTAGTTAAATTCCCAGCTTCTTCTACATCCTGTTTAAACCACTTTTTACCTGTCACTCTGGATTAAGGGGTGACATATTACCCTAATTATGTGTCTAGAAGCAACAAGTAGGGGTTGGGGTGGATCTTGGAGAGGATAGGTGTTACCTGGAAAGAAAACTACCTACCTTAGGTATAATAAGGTCTTTAAGCAAAAGGAGTTTAGTCTCCTCAAATATGGGAGGAGAATCTACATCTGCTGGTAGAAAAGGCTCAAAACTACCCAAGGGTTCTAGAGTCTCTGTGCCATCAAATCCACCCCAAATATTCCCATTCCAAGCCTGAGCAGTGTACCTTTTCCCCATCACTCTTCCATTTAACATTCACAGGATAGACCTGACACAACTGGGACTTCATTGTGATTAAGATGTGTGTCTGATTTCCACCAAGTTCATTACTGTTTCTACAATAAATAGATTCTTTTAGAGCCACTACAAAGACTCTCTGGTTCTGTTTCCATGAATTGAGATGGGTAGCTCAATAAAGCTAAACAGATCACCTTTCTGCCTGATCTCACAATGTCACTAACATTATGGCTCTCAGCCTCAGTTTGGTTTGGACCACCAAGAAGATCACCTCTCCAATGGGTAACAGGGCACAAATTATTTGGCCTGAGTGCTACTCTTTCACTGTTCTTAGATACTCCAAACTATCCTATGGAGTCTGAAGCATAGAGAAGTGAAATCATAAGAAATACATCAAATATATCTCCTCTTCATCATTGCCTCTTTCTCTTCTCCACCATTCCTTAGGCTGGAAATGGACAGGATTTTATTTACTTTTCTCCTCATATATTCATACTCTCAAAAAAATCTATGTAGGGGTGAGAGGTAGAAAGAGTATCTTCTTTCCACTATAGCTCTAGGTAATAGGTAATCTGTTTTTTTTTATTGTGACATAATTGACATATAACACAATATTAACAATATGATTTAATATATGTATATTTTATGAAAGGATCACAGTAAGTCTAGCTGATATTCAACACCACACATAGTTATTTTTTTTCTTGTGATGAGAACTTTTAAGATGTACTCTTTTAGCAACTTTCAAATATACAGTGCAGTATTGTTAACTATAGTTATTGTTGACTATAGTTCTTGATCTTAGAGGACAAGCTTTCAGCCTTTCATCATTGAGTATATTAGCTATGGGCTTGTCATATATGGACTACTGTGGTGGTATGTTCCCTCCATACCCACTTTAAGAGTTTTTATCATAAATGGATGTTGAATTTTTTCAAATGCTTTTTCTGCATCTTTTGAAATGATCATATGATTTTCATCCTTCATTTTGTTAATGTGGTATATCACATTGGTTGATTTGCTGATATTGAACCACTTTTAGATCACTGGAATAAATCCCATTTGATGATAGTATACAAAACTTTTAATGTGCTGTTGAATTTTGTTTGCTAATATTTCATTCAGGACTTTAGCATTGATGTTCATCAGAGATGTTAGCCTGTTACTTTCTTGTGTTGTTCTTATCTGGTTTTGGTATTTGGATGATGCTGGCCTTGTAAAATGGATTTGGAATTGTTACTCCCTCTTCTACTTCTTGGAAGAGTTTGAGAAGAATGGAAATGGGTATTAATTTTTCTTTAAATGTTTGGTAGGTAGGATTGCCTGTGTGGCATCTGCCTTCTGCTCAGGTCATGATCCTGTGGTCCTGGGATTGAGCTCTGCATCTGACTCCCTGCTCAGCAGGGAGCATGCTTCTCCCTCTCCCTCTGCACCTCTCCCCACTACATTTGTGTTCTCTCTCTCTCTCTCTCTCAAATAAATAAATAAAATCTTTAAAACACATTTGGTAGGTAATCTATTCTTTATATTAAGTATGATTTAAAAATGGAGGTCAAGGGGGCGCCTGGGTGGCTCAGTCGTTAAGCGTCTGCTTTCGGCTCAGGTCATGATCCCAGGGTCCTGGGATTGAGCCCCACATCGGGCTCCCTGCTCTGTGGGAAGCCTGCTTCTCCCTCTATCAGTCCCTCTGCTTGTGTTCCTTCTCTCGCTATGTCTCTCTCTGTCAAATAAATAAATAAAATCTAAAAAAAAAAAAAGGAGGTCAAGGATTTTGAAAATTATACCTTATGATAATAGTAGCTTGCTTTATTACCATTCGTTATTCTACAGGTTAATTCTATTTTTGAGTGTGAAAGGTTGAATATCAACACTTTTTTTTCCATTTTTTTGAAACAAAATTATGGGTCATAAGGAGGGCACTTGCTATGATGAGCACTGGGTATTATATGTAAGAGATGCATTGCTAAATTCTACTCCTGAAACCAATATTACATTATATGTTAACTAACTAGAATTTAAATAAAAATTTGAAAACAAACAAAATTTACTCTTCCTTTTAGCAGATGGTTGCCTGGCCAAGAATAGGACATGTACTTTGAAAAGCAAAATGAAAAATGCACATAAAAACATAAAATCATTTCTTTCACCACATTGACATATGTAGAACCTTATTAAATGCATTGCCTATTTCATGACTAAATCTACCTGAAATAATTCTTTTTCTTTGTAATGTTTTTAGGATCCAAAGCATGAAATTCAGAAGTTGTTAAAGTTTCTAGACAAAGATCTGTCAGAAGAAACTGTGGATAAAATCCTCTATCATAGCTCTTTCAATGTGATGGAGCAGAATCCAGTACAAATTATATCACTGTACCAGATTTTGATATGGATCATTCTGTATCTCCCTTCATGAGAAAGGGTGAGAAATCATATACTAGTTTCTATACAGTTCACTAATTACAGTCATGGAGAGTATAGGTGGGAAGCAAATAGCAGTATTATAGGAAATGGAAAGAGATTGAGTATGCTGGCAAGAAAAAAAAAATAGGAACAACAACAACAACAAAAAAACCTTAGGGGAAATAATTTGTGGCAAATAAACTATAATTTCTGTAAGCCTGACATGTAAGACAAACCTTCTAATGAAAAATGTTTACTCAAGAGTCTATGCCTTGATAAGCATGAGTCTTGGCATCCTTTCCTGTATCAGAAGAATGTCTTTCATTTGTCTGAACTCTCTAGATATTCTTCATATTCCTTTAAATTTTTGCTGTAGTGGGTAGCCGGCTTAAATGATGTTAAGCATACCAAATGAATAATGAAAAGTGTCAATTCCTTGAGGTTGTTGTTATGATATGGTAAATCACTGCATCTTCAACGCTGATCTCAATGTAATAGCTAGCATCTTGCAAAAAATAGTCCCTTAATAAAGATGTGTTGAATTGAATCGTGTGTGTGTAAGAAAGAGAGAGAAAGAGAGAAAGAGAGAGAAGAAGAGGTTCTGTTAGTTGTGTATGTATTAGTTTTGCTATGAAACAAACAACTCCAAATGGCACCTGGGTGGCTCAGTCAGTTAAGTGTCTGCCTTCAGCTCATGTCATGATCCCAAGGTCATGGGCTTTCTGCTTGGTGGGGAGTCTGCTTCTCCCTCTGCCTCTGACCCTCCCCATGCTTGTGCTCTCTCATTCTCTCTCTCACCAAATAAATAAAGTCTTAAAACAAAAACAAAAACAAAAAAACCCACAACTCCAAGAATCTCAGTGGCTTAAAACCACAAGTTTTATTTTTTCTTTAATGTTGCTGAATGTTGGCCACCAGTGGCTGCTGCAGTTTTACTTACTCTTTTTGATTCTGATCAATTTTACTTTGAATTTCATGGTCTCAGCCTCTTATGTCTTCTCTTTATGAAACATAGGCTGAAAGAGCTACCCACTTGTGGTATCCGATATGCCCAATATCATAGTAGACAGGAAGAGCAAGAGAGGCGCTGGAAACTTACAATGTCTTTAAAGTTTCTGTTTAGATGTGGTATATATTGCCCATATTCAAATTCCATTAGCCAAAGCATATCCAAAATCCAAGCCCTAAGTTAATGAGGCAGAAAGTAAGCCATGGATAAGTCTTTCTAGGACTATCTGGATCTCAGCCGGGAATGATTCTGCCTCCCAAAGAATGTTTGGCAACATCCAAAGACATTTTTGAGAGTCATGACTAAGGGTATGCTATAGGCATCTAATGTGTACAGGCCGAGAATGCTGCTAAACACATGATAATGCACAGGACAATCTCACATCTGCCCAGCCAATGGTCTGGCTTTGAATGTCAACAGTGGAAATATAAACAAATAAAATAACATGCCAAAGTTGGGAAATCCTGGGACAGATTAACAAAGTTATTTTGGCATGTTTTCTTCCCTGCTCTTTTTTTTCCCCCCCTAAACCTTGGCTTGCAAATGACTTCTGGATTATTCTTTGCAAATTAATATATAAATATATCTGTCTTTCCTTCAAGGTCTTAAGATATGGTTAGTCTTTGGAAAATTGAGAAATCCTGTGATAATACATATGTTTAATTACATTTAACCCAGTCATTTCCAAACCTTACTTGATCATAGAAATTTTTTTCATAAATTATCACTTGACATTGAAAAATATAGTTTTAAAAGGACTGAAAAATTCTTTACTTTTTGTTAACAAAGCTCTTGAGGCCAAAGAATAAAGATTTTGAGACATTGGATTTTCTCCCAGTGACATTTCTTGAAATATTGAAGGGATTACTTCTTTTTATAAGATACTGGAAAAATCCATGGGATTTTTTGGAAAATTAAGAAGCCTTCTGTTATAGTTTCTATGTTAATGATCTTAAACAGCAACAAGAAAGTAATCAACAAGTTTACTGACTAGGAACTTTTCACGGTTTTCCTAGTCAGTAAACTGTCAGTGCACACAAGAGTTTGGGAGTGAGGAATGGAGTTATGGAGCAGATATGAAAAAGTTAAAGGTTTAAGAATACACGTGTGGAAATTCAAATGAAAACTGATCTAAGAAGGAAATTTTGTAGTAGTCTCAAATGTACCATTTTATCTTTCTTTTCAGGTATTTCAGGAGATTAGAAAAACCAGTACAATGTAGCCCAGTATGAAAGATTTGAAAAAGATTATGAAAAGAAAATGAAAGGGTCTACACTGCGGTTTTATTCAGAGATTTAAAAAACCTGCTCTTTCTCTGACTCCCTTAGCTGGCACCTAAATTAAAAGAAAAACAATTCCTTCAAACATTTAGTGACAAAAATCCTGTATGTTAATATTTCTGTATTTACTAATATTTGTGCTTTGTAATAGAATATTCAAAGAATTTCAAAGTCCACATATGAAAAACCAATACTGTCTCTATGATTTTAATTACCTTCCACAATGTTCTTACTATTCTTAAAGACAAAATAATAAAATGAAGTTTAAAATCTATAAATATACCTGCTTTATTTTTTTAAATTCAAGTTCTGGGTCATTGGACTTGCAAAGAAGATATTTGCGGGGGACGGTCTTCAAGATGAGTGGATTAGAACCAAAATATTCCTTTAAAAAGGCTTTATTTAGGGGCGCCTGGGTGGCTTAGTCGTTAAGCATCTGCCTTTGGCTCGGGTCATGATCCCAGGGTCCTGGGATCGAGCCCCGCATCGGGCTCCCTGCTCCGCGGGGTGCCTGCTTCTCTTCTCCCTCTCCCACTCCCCCGGCTTGTGTTCCCTCTCTCACTATCTCTCTCTCTGTCAAATAAATAAATAAAATCTTTAAAAAAATAAAGGCTTTAATTTCCTTTGTTATATGCTTAGAATGATACCAGTGTAATATAAGGTTGATGACATTTTTGTACAAGTTCATTGAAAAGTATTGCCCTAGAATGATTTAGATCACTGAAAATCTTCTCTGATGGGGAAATAACAGATGTTCTCAAGTTTCATGCATTTTGAGACAATAAGAGAAACTGCTTTGTTTCAAAAATCTTCAATAGAATAAATAATAAGTATTCTTGGATTCTGTTTTTACTTTTTCTTGACTATGATATATACACATAGTAGAGATTTAATAATAAAAGAATCTGTATTAAATGCTACAAACTGAGTTTTCAAACTTCTTTTAATCCATATTTATTTCCTATTTTGCCTTACTTTAGATCTTGAAGTGTCCTCACTTTTCTTCACCTTGTAGATATTCTTTTTTTTTTAAAGATTTTATTTATTTGACAGAGAGAGATACAGCGAGAGAAGGAACACAAGCAGCAGGAGTGGGAGAGGGAGAAGCAGGCTTCCCGCGGAGCAGGGAGCCCGATGCGGGGCTCGATCCCAGGATCCTGGGATCACGACCTGAGCTGAAGGCAGACGCTTAACGACTGAGCCACCCAGGCACCCCGCACCTTGTAGATATTCTTAATAATTATGACTGAGGTGCCTGGGTGGCTCAGTTGGTTAAGCACTCGAGTCTTGATTTCGGCTCAGGTCACAATCTCAGGGTTGTGAGATCGAGCCCCACATTGGGAGCCCCACATCTGGCTTGCTTCTCTCCCTCCCCACCTGCCTCTCCCCTTGCTCTCTCTCTAAAAAAAAAGTAAATAAATCTTTTTAAAAAATAATTAAAAATAATATTAATTATGACTATTTTAAATATCGAGAACAATCACAAAGAACTTAAATGATTTTCCCCAAATCATAAATTTAGGAAGTGTTCTCTAATACAAATAACTGACACTGTTAGGAAACAAGGTAGTTATACCTTGAGTACCTTACATTCACCTAAAACAAATAAGACAGTTGCTGTGCTACTACTCTAGACAGAGCCATGTGACACTCTTCAAAGTAAAATGAAAAAGAAAAGATACTCAAGATTAAAACTGTAGGTGGTTGCTTTTATGTTGCAGTAAATGATGTGTAGTCACTTTCTTACAATATTAATTTAGCAAACTAATAACCTACTGATACATAATTATAAATAGACCTAGTTGATTACATAATTTTAAAAAGTGTGAAAAACATTTCATAAATCCATAAATTTCATAAATTCAGTAACTATATAATATTATTATACTATTATAATATGATGTTAATAATTATATTAATTATAAAATTATAATACCATATTATTATATTACATAATGTTATAATATATGTGTACCAACCTAGGTAATATCTTGGAAGGTTTATTGCTTATACAGAGCCCAAAGAAAGAAAGGAAGAAATTGGAGCTGCTCCTAGGGAAGAAGAATATGAATAAAAATATATATGTGATTCAAATTCATGCATATTCTATTCAGAATGGCAACATTTAGAAAAATTAAAACCAAATAAATAGAATACTTAAGGGATCATTAAAAGGAACTGTTCCTCTAAACCACAATTTCCTGTACTTGGTTTTCACTGGTTTCCATCAACCAGTTAATGAACACATGGATCTATGTTTCTCTCACTTCACTAGTCAACGTAAGAAACAAACAAATGCAGAGCACGTAGCTTCTTTCTTTGGGGAGCTTACAAATAAATAAGTCAAAGAGAGATATGGGACTACATATTAAGTGTTAAATTGTCTTGTTCAGACATGAAATATCTCTGGAATTCTGATATGATATTTCTTTCAGCTGTGAGAGACAGAGTATATATTGCTTGTCAACATTGTTTTTGTCTCTAGGAGGACAGATGGGGGCATTTTTCTTTAGAATTTTATAAATTAGAACTTCCTAAACAATTAAGTATCACTGGTCTATATGCCAAAAGATAGAGACCAGGAAGATGTGGAGAGAATTATTAGAATCAAAACAATAATAGATATGGACCAGAATTTTCATATTAAATGTTAAAGAAAACAAAGGAAGAATTTGTTAAAATAGTTTTAAAGAATTAGTAAGATAGGAAGAGAAGGTGGAGGGAAAAAGGAAAGAGAGAAAGAGAGACGGAGAGAAGGAGAGAGAGAATTCCATTTTATATATGTGGTCTCTCTCCTATTAGACTACTGCACCCAAAGACGGAAAGAAACTGACCTTCCATTGCTTCTAATTCTTTACAGAGAGAAAATTTTTCAATATGAAAAGTCAGTATTTCTCTCTAAATCTTTCTAGCAAGTATAGAATTACATGTGATTCTTTGAACAGTTTAAACCAAAAATAAACTAGCTTTATGAATCCTGTCCATTAGTATGCCCTGTATCTTTATTTTTCAAAGTGGAAAAAAACATATAAATACTATGCTGAAGAAAGTGGAAAAATATTAAATTTTTTATCTCAACCAAGGACTTTAAGAAAGTCCTGGTAAAAATATAAGGGTTTATAACTTTAACCAAAAGGTATGGGGGAATCCCTGAAAAATTTTAACCAATATTGTCACAGCCAGATTTATTTTTTAAGATAACTTAAAAAAATGGATTGTATTTTATATATAAACTTGGTATAATATTTACATATAAAATATATGAGACGTATATAATTTATGTATATAATTATATGTAAACATGTATTAATGTATCTACCTTTCTCACACAGAATAGTTTTACTGTCCTAAAAATCCTGTTTTGCCTATTCATCCCCTCTTCCCCACTAACTTCTGCCAAAAACCAATCTTTTTACTGTCTCGATAATTTTGCCATTTTCAGAATGTCATATAATTAGAATCATATAGTAGATAGCCTTTTCCCATTACCTTGCTTCACTTCGTAATAAGCATTTAGTTTTCCTCCATGTCTTTTTGTGGTTTGGTAGTCCATTTCTTTTGAGTGCTGAATAATACTCCATTGTCTGGAGTTTAATGATCCATTCACCTACCATAGGGATATCTTAGCAGTTTCCAACTTTTGGTCATTATGAATAAAGCTGCGATAAACATCCCTGCACACATTTTTGTGTAGACATAAATATTCAACTGTTTTGGGAAGATGCCACAGAGTGTGATTGTTGGATCATAAGATAAGAGTGTGTTTAGTTTTAGAAGTAACTGCCAAACTGTCTTCTACAGTAGACATGCCATTTTGCATTCTCACCAGCAATGAATGCGAGTTCCTGTTGCCAGGATTTGATGTTGTCAGGATTGAAGATTTTGGTCATTCTAATAGGTTTTTTAGTGGTATCTCACTGATGTTTTAATTTGCATTTCCCTGATGACATATGATGTGGAGCATCTTTTCATATACTTATTTGCCATCTGTATAATTTCTCTGGTGAGGTGCATGCTAAGGTCTTTGGCCCCTTTTAATTGGGTTGTTTGTTTACTTATTTTTAAGAGTTTTTTCGTCCATTTTAGAGAATAGTCCTTTATCAGATATGTCTTTTGCAAATATTTTCTTCCACTCTGTGGCTTGTCTTTTCATTCTTTTGACAGTGTGTATCAAAGACCAAAACATTTTTTAGTTCTAATGAATCTAGTTTATCAATTCCTTCTTGCATGGATTGTACCTTTGGTGTCATATCTAAACAGTTGTCACCATGCCAAGGTCATCTAGATTTTCTTCCTATGTTATGTTCGAGGAGTTTATAGCTTTTCCCTTTACATTAATTTTTGTAAATGGTATAAGGTCTGTGTCCAGTAGCTTGCAGTTTTTATTTTATTTTATTTATTTATTTTTTGCAGTTTTAGAACAAAATTTATATCACTTTTCAGTGACTTGCCTTTCTTTAGAATTGGTATGTGTCTTCAAGTCTGTTTTAACTGATCTTAATGTGCCTAATAATTTTTTTCTGATTAGCATTTTGCAGGTATATCTTTAACATCCTTTTATTTTTAGTCTTACTCTTCTTTATGCTTTATGTATTTTCTTGTAAAAGACTTCTGCTGCGTCTTTTTTCTTAGTCATCTGTATTGTGATGGTAAATTTAACCCCTTTTTAAAATTACATTGCAGATACATTTGGATTTATTTCTGCCATTTTATTTTATACCTATATTTATTCTCTTTCTCATCTTCCTTCTCTGTCTCCTTTCACCTTTTTTCTTACTTCTTGTTTCTTTTGGATTGATTTTTCCCTATTCATTCTTCCACTTCTACTTGTTTGGAAGTTACATGCTTTATTATAATTATTATTAGTTTAATAACTTCTCTCAGAATTTTTCCTGGATAATTAACAAGATTTAAAAATAATCAAAATCTTGAACTTTCCCTTCTAATTAATAAAAGGAACTTAGAATCCTATGTAACAACCCATGCATCTCTTCAACCAATATGCTGATTTTGTCTTGT